TTTCAAACGGAAATAAAAACCGACTTGACCATGAATCATTCTACCAAAGTAATAGAGAACGACTTCTACATCTAAATCCTGATGATTGTAAAAACGAGCTACCCAGACTAAACATCACAGGGAATAAAAACACCGACAGAAAAACAAGTAAATTTTCATTTCTTCGCCGATTCTGTACATCAAGCAGAACTTGAACGATATCAGGGACATATAAAACTAGATGAAAAATACCCATACAACGACGCACATGGAAGATTAACTTATGACATACACGATAAGCACTGGATACCACACATTGGTATAAATAATCCATCAAACTGCAAAGCAGACACAAAAAATAAAGGATATCAAGAAATAATGTTTTTCGATTGGAAAATACAACTCGAAAAAATACAACTCACACGAGATTTATCTGACAACACAATGATCTATCAAGGAATTAGACTACCTTGTAAAAACGATCAAGGTTATTGTGATCCTACAACACGGACACAAGCAACAATTGTTTGGTTTCCCGAAGATACATGTACAACATTTCAAGTAGCAAAAATACACGCTCGAATGATAAAATTTCACGAAAAATCTTTTATACAATCAATTCCATATGAACAAGTCAATCCATCACGAAAACAAAGTACTGATTTTCGAAATATCCATAAAATGGAAAATAAATTAACACGTTTTCAAATATATCAAGAAACAGAACTCGCATGCAAATACAGAAACCCACTTCACAAAACACAATATTCTGAAATATTAGTTGAATACGAAAAAGGTTTCGACATGACCACAGGAAAAATAAAAGTTGACCCCTATGCCACAAGTCATCCTCTACACGAAGGAACATCATATATACCAGTTAACTTTCAAAAAAGTAATGGTCAACCTGGTGGACATCTAAAGCCACATGACACTAGAAGCACACGTTTACAAGAACTATCACTAATGAATAATTCTTATTTTGGTAATATCCACTGTGATATCCACTTAGATATGAAATTAGACTACACGATTAGTCGAATTTTTTAAGAGATGTCAGTCTCCGAATTAGAAACACTTCACCAACTATGCGAATTAGAAAGAACACAAATCCTACAATCACTTGCACTAGCAGTATTAGAAATACCCTACGCAGGATATTTACACTTGCACTAGCAGTACCAAATATTCCACTCCCGCCCATTTGTACTCCCTCTTATGCTTCACAAGTAACCCCAACCTATTCTCCATTTCATTCCGACCGATCATCTAATTCTCCCGATACTCCCCAAATTTCCCAAGAACTTGATAATTTTATCTCCCTACAACAACAGCTAATACACCCTAACACCCTCACAATCAATCAAATTTCATCCACAATAGAATCCTCAAACCCACCTACCCCTACACCCTCCTCAGCCTATACTGCATCATTAGCACAATCATCAACATCCACCGAATCATCAAATAGCACTAACCGAGCTTATCGCACTTTTAAAAGTAAATTCCCAAACCATCCATTCCCGACCAAACCAGGAACAGCCCGTGAATATATTAATCATCCACACCACACCAACACGAAAAATTTTCTAGCAATCACCTTACCTTCATTTCCACAATATACTTTAAACACACCTTATGACACTAACGACACACGTAGTTTTGTAGATGAACATGTTTTAATGCCTACACTTCATTGGACAACATATTATCATTTTACTTATCCCCTTTGCCTCCCACTATTTAATACTCATAGCGATATAGAAAAACATAAAGATATGCTATATAGACTCACCGCAACACTAACACCTAGACAATTTACTTATATAGGATATAAAAAATCACTAAAAACATTCAGTGCACCCCGAGCTAACGAATTTACACTAGAATATTACGACCATAATATCATCCGAACTAATCAAGACCAATTTTTAGATGACGACCGCTTCGCTAACCCACAACTAACAGAAAAATTCTTCATCAATATTTTTGATAGACTTGTAAGGGATTTATGTGTAAGGGATTTATGTGTAAGGGAGAAAAATTCTTCATCAATATTTTTGATAGAAAATATGATGACATCATTTCTGAAGCACTAACTGATATGCAAGCTCACGAAAGTTTTAAAGAAAAATTTCAATTATTTTCACTAACCTTTCACTTCCTTGCACCACATGAACGCGATTTGCACTGTTCACATGACATCATGTTATGCACTAAACAAACTCACACATATACATACTATCGCTTCATACAAAATCATTTTGATCTACATACTCCATCAAGACCACCACACCATCGTTTTCAGTTTCTTAACTCGAAGTACACCTCACCATTTTTTCTAAATTTCACCTATTGCATCAAAGATACTAACCTCCACGGCATCCTCCGCAATTATGACCCAATAACACAGATGTATATATTTTGTCCTATCACGAAGACCTTTAATGCTGAAGAATCCAGACCCTTCCTTATCCCACATGAATTTATCCAACCTGTAGAAATCCCTATATTAGAATTTATTCATAATACTAAATACAATCACAAAATATATAATCTCATTCAAAACACACCTTATGAGTTTGCAGTTGGCACCGAAGAACTAAAAACTATTAAAGCACTTCAATTGCTTTGGCCACTGCTTCAAACTAAAAACATCATTCGCATACTAGCAAAGTTACTAACAAATTCCGACATGATACACGACATCTTCCCCACGGTTCTTTCCCAGACGATTAACAGGTAAGTATAATTTCAAATATTCTTTTCTAATAAAATTAAATTAATACTAACCATTCTTTACCCACGTTTCTTTTAGATCTTTAGTCTTCATACCACGATCATCTGCAAAAAATAGAAAAGAAAAATAAAAAATAAAAACTTGTTAAATTTATTCTAAACTTCATTAATATTTTCACAAAATAATCTGATAAAATCTATACAAAATGTAGTAAATTAATTTATAAATAATTCCCCCATACAGCAGTAAATCTAAATATAATGAAAGTTTATAACTTTAAATTTCCCCCAAAACTAGCAGTAAAATTGAAACTCTATGTAAAAAATTAATAAAATAAAAATGCAGTACTAACCTTTTGATATTTTCATTCACTCGCACAAGAATTCTATCCAAACTCGCACAGCTCGCCCACGAAGAATTGTTCAAATAATGAATTTCAGTTTCAAGTTTTCACACTCAACAACTCTAACACACGATAACAAGTTTCAAACTTTCCTTTAACCCGGTTGGAAAGGAATTATATACTAAAACAAACTAACCAACGCAGCTTACTAAACACCACAAACCATAAAATAACAGCATGACTAAGAAAAGAAAACCAACGGTACCCAAACCGGATTAAACCAGTTTAAAACTGGATAATTTATTCTTTTGAAGACTATTATAAAGTCTAAGCAAGAAATAATAAAACACAAAAAAGTCGAAAGACAAACCCATAACAAAAACAATTTGGTTTTTGAAAAAAGGACACAACCAAAGGAACATAAGAAAGACCAACATAAACCCAACATAAAACGTTATCACATAACAGGACCTCTCAAAGAAACCGCACGAAATCATACTCCCACTCCTGGCCTAACCCACCAGAGAGGACGTCCTGAGCATGCTCTATAGCCGGCCTAGCCCACCGTGCTACATCCACGCTTTGTGACCACACTTCTATTTTTAATAAGAGGTACTCAAGGGTGAGTAACTCTTCAAAATAACCGAACTAAAACAAAATGCTTTTGTGAAAACAACTAACTAAATTCATAATTAAAAAACCGAACTAATAAAAATTTTATAAAATGTAAATCATACCTTGCAGTATATAGATCAACACACAACAACAAAGACGAACATCCAAAGACAAAATGACCCCATTACACTCGAACAAGAATGGCTAACCACAACCGATATGCCGTCCACAATCACATTTCAAAGGATTTAGAGTACGACTTGACTTCGCAGAAAAGGACTTCATTGAACTAGACCAATGAAAACCTCGATGTTAAGGTATACGTACAGATCCGAGTTACAAGGCATCCCCTCCACGCACAATCTCCACGCCATTCCCAGACGAGGTTGAACACAAAACAAGTTCTCTACATAATACAAAAAAACCCGTCATAGCAAACCATTTTGAAATCAGATTGATTTCGTTGGGAAACACAGTCGTTGTCACAAGAAGACACAACGATTAATGCCCCAAACTCCAGCGTCCTGGAACTTCTCTAACAAGAGGAACCGGACAAAAATACGATGTTCGCCCAATACCAACGTTCATCATCCATCCTTTGAATTGCAGAAAGATAATTCTAAAAAACTCTGTAAAACCTGGATGGGTGGAACCTGATCCAAACTACATTTTATGATTGGATAAATTAGATATTTTACCACTGTAAAGTATTTAATATTAACCAATCATGATCCATCTAACTAACAACCCACTTATTTGTAAGTGCTGAAATTACTTGTAATTTCAGCACCAGAGAGATTTGAACTTAACTTAGAAATTAGTTGTCTCTCCAAGAGAACTTCAGCCGCCGCAACAAACCAGTATACCCTAGATCTATTGAGCCTAGCAGAGACTAGTTAAACACCCTGAGACTAGAAAGTATAAGAGTAAGATTAGGATCGGTATTAGAATAAGAAGTTGCACGAATCTATCCGGCCGAAAATAAGATAGCGTGACGAGCAGACTGTGTACCCTATCCGAAATTACTCTATGAGTAAACCACATCGGTCATAACTCACAAGTGATAAAATGCAATCAGAAACTTCTGACTTTTATTTCTTCTTTCTCAAAAGTCACTGTCCGCTAATAAACGATTTTGCTTGCGAATCGTCAAAAATGCGATAAAGTTAATAAAACGAATATTGCTAAGACAATAAGAAACAAAAGTCGGAAAAGTTAACAGGATTTTGGAAAAAGAACACAAAATCCATGATTTTCTCACCAGCGGCATCATTTTGCGTTTTGCTTATTTTTCAATTGCTTAATGGGCAACATGTAAATGAGAATGAGAGGTCATCGATAGTGAATGGATACAACTCCCCTCCGAGGCGCTTCTACGTTCAGATTCTGATTCGAGTCAATCCACGAGGACTATTCGTCTGCGGGGGCAGCATCATCGGCAACACTCACGTTCTCAGTGCAGCACACTGCTTCGCCAAAAGTAATGTAGTCAGAGTTATAATCTGCCTTCTTAATTTTTTCACAAGCATAGCGTTTGATCACGCGTTGTGCAAGTGTACCCGGGTTGAGGCATGCTACTTATGTCCAAACTTTCGCGACAAACTTTGGACATGTACAGACATTCGCGACAATTTTTTGGCATGTCTAAACTTTCGTGACGAAAATATACCAGACGCAAGAAAAAGTTGACAAACTTATAGCAGTATGGCCACCTCAGGTCATAATCGCTGCTCGAATAAGGCCAGGCATAGAGCTTACAAGTCTTTTAAAAAGATTTCTGGGTATTGCTTTCCTTGAATCTTTTATTGCGGACTCTAGTTGAGAAATCTTTCTGTTTCTCTCCCGAATTATAATTTTTCCATTTAACTGCTTGGTCTTCGGACTGGTTGCCGGTTTTTGATAGAGCCGGTCTCACTTGTTAAGACTAAAGACGTAGTGAGTACTCTTATATAACATCAAACATCTATATGCATCAAACATCTGTGTTTTAAGCTGGATGCTTTTCGTTTTCTTGACTGAGAGGGAGGTGGGCCAGCCCAACTTGTTCATTTTTTATTGTTGATTCCTTTGAAAAACTTAAAACCCCTCAGTACATCTGAGTACAATGTTCATACTTTTGGTACTTTTTCTTAACAAAAAGGCTGGAACAGGAGGGCAAAATAAAGAAGATTTCCCACATTTGTTCACATCGCCCTTGCTTCTATGACTAAAAGGCCATGTTTTTCTGATTTTGAGGCCATATGTGTATTTTCATAAAACTAGCCCTCAATTCCTTAATAAGAAAATAAAAATTAAATTATATACTGAAAAATTAGTGTAATAGCTTCTGGTAGAAAAAAATGGAAGCCTGCCCACATATGAAAATAATTTGCAATCCCACTTTTTTTCTCTAGGGTTATTTATAGTCATAACCGAAATCGGCGAATGTTTTTATTTCACAGAGAACATCAGCGAACTCAGTGTTGAAGTCGGGGATTTTTCACAGCCCCGGCATGCACGAACAGTGAAGACGATGAAAGCTACAGTCAAGATTCACCCGAAATACAGAAAACGAAGCAAGATCGACGACATCGCCCTTTTGTACCTAACTGAACCTGTTTCCAGGTGAGCTCTTTTCAAATTTGTCCATCAAACGTAAAAAGGCCCTTTTCCAGCCGGCGCTTAACTGATGTCCAGCAATTCGAACCAAAATCATCAAACTCAAAAGGCTATATTTCTTAGTTGACCAAGGAAAAACAGCCGAAAAAGAGTCTTTCATTTTTTTTGGCTTATACTGTGAAATCTTAGAGCTGTTAGACTTAGGTGAGCAAAGTCAAAGGTAGTGAGAGAAAATTTTTAGAACTTTTTTGAAACTACGCTCTTTGTAGCCAAGAACAATATCCTGCAGTGATAATAACCACCAATATCATGCTCAGTAGATCATCGCATTAACCGATTAGCTACACCAATTGGCCATTCACAGAAGTGGAAGCAATGTCATGCAAATTAAATTTGTTAGCTTCCAAAATCAGGCAATTGCAAATTTTTTCAATCCATCCAGAATTTGTTCATTTATGATGATACATAGGAAACTAGTATTTTCTGTACATGGGAGAGAACACCTAAAATTGAGTTATATCTACAATGATATGAAGATATATATCCAATTTCTAACAAGTTTAAAATCCTTGAGTACGCGTTTGGCATTTTTAGATAACACCTTTATACGACGTGTAAAAAAATGACTGCCTATATATAAGAAAAGTGTGAGCTTCCCGGGCTGACCTCGATAAGAAAATTTATTTGCTTATAGAGATAGACCGCTATTCAAAATTTTCATCGGTGCAAATTACTAGATCAACTTGGGGAAAATCTTCAATTAGGTTTCTTCGTACTTACATTGATACGCACGGAATACCATAATCTATAAGAACTGACCTTTTTCCGGGTTCAAGGGGAAAGCAACGAAAAAATTCTGTAGAGAAAACAACAATGAACAAAAATTTTGTCCGCTGGGAGATCACCGAGGACGTGGGCTGGGCGAACGAACTATTCAAACCATCAAGAGAAGATTGGGAACAATGCTTCTGGATGAAAACTCCGTATCAATTAAGCTTTCTCTTAGCACAATAAAACGGGACCTTAGATGGACTAAACAAAAAACTATACAACGTTCTTTGTTCGAAACGCATTTTGGACGCCTTCAAAAAACGGAATTTAAATTACAAACGGATAAATTTTTGTTTAACTCTGACCGCTTAGATAAAAACACTTGGAGAGATTGGCACTCACGGCGTCTGAGTTGAAGAAGCGAATCGACCAATCACGAGAAAACGTGAAAATCATGCCTAAAGAAACAAACAGCCGAGATGTCAGCCCACGGTTTGGACAGCAGATTGAGTCAGTGAAAGCCAGAGATCGTGCAACGGCGTTGAAAAAACTCTTTTATTCGTGGGAGAGGGTTTTCATAGAAGATAAACCAGAGGAGCAACACAGAATTGTATTACCGGTTTTGCGCCGGGAATATAAAAACCGGAAAATGGAAAGCCTCTAACAAATCTACTAACGGGGAAAGTGATGCTCGAAACGCAATTTACTGTCAAAACAGCAGCGGGGGCAATTTATCTTAAAAATGATATTGCCCAATCTAAAGTAAAATTAATTCCACCGGAACAACAAATGAACCCGAGAAACGCATAGAATACGAAGAGTGATGAACCTAAGCACAAACAACAAAAGAAAAACAATAAATCACAATGGGGGAGTACAGATTCAGAGTACGAGCAATCGCAGCAGACGAAATCGGAGAGACTAATGCACACTAATGCTTTCAAGAGAGCCCATCAAGAGTCACCTCAAGAGACGCAGAGACAGGGGAGAAGACTAAATCTAGCAGTGAAAAGGGCGAAGCCAATTAATGTTGGACCCTTTTTGAGCGTACCGAGAAGTCAGAACGATATAGCCCCATGAAAGACGACAAAAAGCCTACAGTGCAGGAAGCTCGTCGGGGGAAAGCTGCTTCAGCAGTAGCCCACAGCACAGACAAGTCACAAAATCAAACCTTGAGCCCAGGTTCATCACAACCGGGAATTTCAAAATTGTCCACTCCGATCAAACAGCAGACAAAAATGAAAGCAATCAGACGCCAGAGCGATTGAGACACAATACTAGAGGCATTCCAGAATCAAGATATGACAAAAGACGAGTGGGAGAAGATGGCAGACCAGGTACTCACACGCGGCGTGCAGATATTCTAACAACTCGGGATAATGATCAGGCAACGTCAGAAAGCCTGATAGATACGCCACCAGGATTCTGAGATGAGTCAAACAAACACGAACATGAACCAATTGACCGACACACGATGAACCAGGGACCCAAGAGGTTCGGTGATCCAATTAATTATTCTGTACGCCTAATCTGTTCCGAGGACGATATAACTGACTTAAATAAAGCAGCTTTGGAGGCGTGCCGACTCAAAATGGCGATGTTTAAAACTGACACGAGCAAACCCACAGAATCAAAGCTGGGTCTTCTCGAAAGACATCTGTTCAGAATAAAATTCGGATATGCTTCGTTGGATAAGACGCGATCATGGATTGCGTAGTGGCGAGTTCCATTGCGGTTCGAGTTGACGGAGGAAGAAAGGGAGGCAAATTGAGACGCAGTAGAGAACAAAAAACGGAAAAAGAAGGCCAAAGGACTCAATTTGTGCGTAAAACAGTAAACTGAGCTTCTAAAATCCTATAGTATTAATTAAAATTTTATTGTGATAGTATAAAATTTATTTGTCCTCGGGGGAATGTGGTACAGTAGCTACAGCTGCAGTCATGCTACAGTAACTTTGAGAAGTGCATATGCTTATCTATATATCTATTGTTAGTATTGTTTAAGGCCACTTCATTCTGACCGTAAAGGTCTCATGACTGAATTCAGTTCTTCGGTACGCAGTTACTTAACTCAGTCGGACTCAGTATATCAGTATATCAAAAGAAAAGAGAAACAGATTTCATATTAATTAAAATTCTGAATTGTACAATTTTGTCTTCACTTCGTTTAAGCAGTCCTAGGCGATATCACAGGGGGGATATGGAAAAGAGCCGAAATAAGTCATGCAGTCCTAAGGATCTTGAGATGATCATAGCTTACAACCTCACCCAATCACCTTGGCTCTTTTTCCTCTCTGCCAGTTGATACGAGTTCTCAAATGCTATTTTAAATTGGCTCTTTTCCACTTCCCCCTTTTAATTTTTTCGGAAGATTAATAGATAAAAACGTGGGCTCTTTTCCAGTTTCCCCCCTTTCAAAATACCGAGTTTTATGTTTGTTTTACGTGTTATTACGGCTAAATGTGTGATGTTACGCTGTAACGTATGAAGAACAAATCTTTTCAAAAATGTCGATTTGTTCACCACGTCAAATTTTATTGCATGATGACAAGGTTAAATATAATTTTAAAAATTGATTTGAAAGGCGGGGACTGGAAAAGAGCCAAAACTTATTTAAAATGTTTTTACAAGTTATAAACTGCATTAAAACGTGTCAGCGTGAACAGGTGAACAAATTTTCACAACATTTCTTACATGCAAAATGCCGTGTTAACAATTTTTGAACAATTTTTTTTGAAAATAGCCTTTAAATTGAGTTCGGCTGAAAAAATTCTACATTACTACATTGAAAATTTAAAATGTGGGGTGGGGGTGTGAAAAAGAGCCGCCCGCTATAATGGAACATGTCAATGTCAGTGTGCACAAGAGAACAATTTTAAACATGTTTCTAAAACCCACCTTTACGTTATGTGAGCAGTTTTTAGACCATCTAAGTTTGCGAGGGGCAAAAATCAGAAAAAAAAAGATCCGGGAGAGAAAATGCTCCTCCCGTTATAGTCCCTTATCCTTGTATAAAATATAGCTTCTACTACCCGTTAATTTTATTACTTGGGGGAAGGGGGGCTATAACTTGCTGAGGCGATATAATGTGAAGGAGCCGAAAACATCGATTCTTTTTAGAATGGAATCGAACACCAAAAAGTGTCCAGCGCGACTAACTACCGCTCGCGACCAAATCTGTCTGGCGTCTACATACACGGGTGGTCTCTGCTTCGGAGACGAAGGAGCACCCGCCTACATCCTGGACAAAAGAGGCAACCCACAATGCCTCATTGGAATCCTGAGTGTCATTGAATACTACCCGGACGATCTGTGCACTGATTGGGGTGTGTACACTGATGTGAGGCAACACCGATCTTGGATCGAGTAAAACTGGGTCTAGGCTCGGACACTTAGCAAAGTCAAATAAGACGAACAAAGTTAATAAGCAATATTAACGTCACTAAGAAATAAAACTTAAATAAATGCAAAATGGTTCATATCCTTGCTCTGAAAATTGTCGATTCGATTCAATTTATTTGTTCTAGGCTGTGGTGAGAAACTGGAAAAGAGCTTTTAAATTGAATTTTGCTGAAAAAAAATTGTACTGCATTACTACATTTAAAATGTGGGATGGGGGTGTGAAAATGAGCCCCCCGATATAATGGAACGTGCCAATGTCAGTGTGCACAAAAGAACAATTTTAAACATGTTTTCAAAACCCACCCTTACTTTATGTGAGCAGGGCACTTAGCAAATTCAAACAAGACTGCTCATATCAGAGCGAAGCCCTGAATGTTCCGACTGCCTTTTAAGGTTTATGGAGCAGTAATAACATAAAAAAATTAAATGTAATAAAACAAAATTAAATTTTTTTTTCTTAAATTTGAAATTTTTATGAAAATCATCCACCCACACGCATTGTAAAGTACAAAAATATAAATTTCGCTCCTTGTAACAAATCAATTATGGCAATTAAGCTTCTTTCAACCAATTTGGAACAATTTCTAAGACGGATTAACTCTCAGGTACGAGTTAAAAGCGCGAATTGTATCGCGCATTAATTGTCCCAAAATGGCCAAAATGCCAATGTTTAAACCCCCATAACTTTACAAAAAATGATCACAAGTGAAACATCTTTTCAAGTTTGAGCTCATGACAACAATATCTTTTGAATGATATTAAAAAATTCCGTCAAAAATGGCTAGTTAACAAGTCGAAATGTGTCTGAAGAAAAAAAAACCACCCCAAGCAAAAATATTCCGTTACTTTCGTATCGAAAGTCGGAACAATAAGACCAACAAAGTAACTAAGCAATAATAATGTCACAAAGAGATTAAACTTAAAATAATCGATGGTTCATATCGCTGCTCTTAAATTTGTCGATTCGATTCAACTTATTTGTTCAAATTACAGCTAAAATGATCATTTTCAAAGGTTCTAACATCCATTTTTTTTAAAACAGTATCTAACGAACTACTTGCGTTCTAATTATACCTGAACCTTGTGGATCGATTTACTATTCTCCAACCCTTGAACACAATCACTACCCCTAAGTAAGATTAAGTAAGTTAACACCTTAGCTTAGACTAGCCACGAGAAAGTAAAAAATCATTCTTCGGAATCGATATACTTTTCTCTCCAACCCCGAACAAAAAGACCCAGGTTAAGCTAACCAAAAAATCGTAAGGACTAACAGTCTAAGAAAATAGAAATCACCTAACAACTTTTTGCATCCCTCATCCTAAACCTTATCTCATTCAAAAATCTAGGAAATTAACAAACAATCGTTTTACACAACTGCGAGATAGATAACTAAAAATACGACCTTGTAATCACACCTCATACGCAAACAGTTGGATACATTAGAACAAAACGACTAACAATAAAAAGAAAAATAATAAACAAACAAAGACAAATCACACGAAAAAGATTTTCAAAAAACAGAAACGCATTTTCAGAATCAGAAGCCAGCAATTTAGATGAACTCTACAAATTAAAGGAATCAATTGATAAAAATTGTCCCATCCACGATCAATTATATTTTTCCGATTCAGAAACAACTTCAAATTCATCAAAAAGAGGAAAAAGAAGAATAAAAAAGCAATATAAACACAAACCAGTAGACTTGTATAATTGGAATCAACCAATTAGACACATCGATAGTTATATGTTAACAGTCATTAAACGAAAAAATGAGCCACAGCCACACTCAAAGTGACGATAGTCCAGATGACGAAGAGGTTTATCCCTTCCTCATAGATGCACCCGATAATAGAGGGCAACATGACTTTTGCAAGAATTTCCTCTTAAATTTGTTTGAATCCGGAATCAGCCCATGTAAAGCAGAATTCCCAAATGTGAAAATCAAAAGACAAATTATTGAACATTATCTGAAAGACATATGTAATTTAACACAACAATACGGAATCTACACCATAGAATTCAGCACACCAAATCCGAATCATCAAAAATATGTAATTCAAACAGACGATCTTGAATTAGAATTTTCAAAAGTATTCTTAGAATATATTAAAAGCATACAATATCATAATTCACAAAGAGCAAACTCCATATTCACTAACGAAGTTTTTGCAATAATATATACTTATACTTCTATATTAGAAAAAACAGAATTTCAAAGTATCTCACCAACTGAAACATCCAAACATACAAAAGTACGACAGGAAATCACATTATTTTCAACCTTCCTACATATAATCAAAAAAAATTTCACTAAAAACGATGTTTCACAACACACAAAACATGACTTACAAAAAATTTTGGCATGGTTTATAATAGATTATTTCACACACAATATAGACTTAATTTCACAAGCAAGAAAAAATTTCAGACCTCAAAATCCAAATGATGATACTGCCATTACAGAACAGTCAGACTACGTTTGGGACCCTGAATGGTCTCATCATGCATTTATAAACATTCCACAATCAATCTCAAGTCAAGCAATAAGTACAATATCTTACCAAAGAGATTACGTAAAAGTAGTACCACTAACCATTGATGCAACACCATTAAACTACAACACATTTTTACCCGATACACGAAATAACAGTTTAAATTCGACCGTCATACATAATGAAAACCTTAATGGAACTAGAAATCTTACACAACAAGATATCCAAACACCATCACACTTCATAAATGAAGAAATTGTCCAAACAACAACAACTACACAACAAAGTACTTCACCAATACATCCAAATTTAACAACACCAAAAAATACAAACACTTCACTGGCACAAGTAACCTTACAGTCAACCGTTAAACCTTAGGTTGCTCCAAAATATTCACAAATGGATTATCAAACATATAGACCTATGACAGTACCATCAAAACCACGAAGAACGTTCACAAGAAACACTTTTGCAGAACACAACTATAATTATGCACATTCATCAAAAACAAACTACCCCCCACGAAAAACTAATAATAACCATGTATGTTCTCACTATTGGGATAACCCAATGACAACAACCAACTCAGTAAATTTTCGGACTAATTCACATCCTCCACAGGACCATAGTGAAAATTATCCATTCTTTCAACAAAATAAAAATAAAAAGCAAGCACCTCATCAAACGGATTACTTATCATCTGACGATGATTATTTACAAACAGACATTTTTGCACCATATACCCAAGAATATCGCAAACAAGGATCGCGACGACCTCATACACATAATAGAATTTTTTCTCCAAATCCAACAGATACACGAAATCAACAACCAATCCATATGTCAAATCCAATAAATACACAATCTTTTCAACCGATTCAACCACAAAACCCAATGACTATGCACTCGTATCAACCAACTCAAATGCAAAATGAAATACCACTCCCATATTACCTTCAACAACACGAAATAACAAAAAATCAACTTTCAAATTTTTCGCAAATGCCAAATGCCGCAGAGTCACTACAGATGACAATGAATCCATACCTTATGGGTGGATTATCAATAACATCAAATAAACCACTAATGGTATTCACAGGAACAGACCCTGAATATACTGTAGAAGATTATTTAAATGCAGTAACAGCAAATTTAATTTTATATATAGGACCTGAACCAATTAATACGCCGCTACATCAAAATTGGATACATCGACGCACAGCGTTGATGCAAACAACCTTAGATGGCGCAGCTCAAAAACATTTTTCAGTATTACCTATAGAAATAAAATCAGACTGGAAAAGATTTACACAAGAATTTTCAAAAATGTTTGACTCCGAAAGAAATAAACAACACCAAAGAGTTTTATGTAATGAAATTCGCAGATTACCAAATGAAACCATCAAACAATTAGCAGTACGTATCGAAACACTAGTTCGAAAAGCATATTCACTAAATGCACATGACTATAAAAACACAAAAATGACAGAAATTTTAATGATGACCTTAACACCTCAATTAAGAAAAATAGCAATAAAAAAGAGAGCATCTCATCCTTCTTCAATTCGAGAGCCAGATTTAGATTTTCGAAAACTAGTAGACGAACTAGAGCAAGCGGAAATCACAATGAAACTTGAAGAAACAGAAAGTCTAAAACTACAATATGTTAATCGAATTGAAACAAACACTACAAATATCAATAACCTACAGGAATCAGATACAGACTTAGTTGAAAAAATCACTGAAATACTAAATATTTACGAAAAACACCCAGATTTTAAAGGCAAACCATCTTTCAAAAAATGGTGTAATTATTGCCGACGATACGGACATAGTATATCCGAATGCAGACAAAAGCAACAGGATAACCAAAACAAACCTCAAAAATATAAAGAACCAAATAAATCATTCTATCAATACATGAAGAAAGATCAAAATCTACCAAACAAAAATGTATACAGTAACAACAGTTCAGGAAAACCACTTCCGAACAACACCAGTTACACGAGAATTCAATCACCATATAACTCAAGTTATAGAGGAAGATCCCCAGAACGAAGAAATACACAGAATTCTTCACAAAATCATTATAATCGATCAAATAGTCAAAATAACTATTCGAGATCAAATCCAAATGCAACAAAATTTGTTTCTTGATCCAATTCACAATCAAACCCAGGAAATAAAAATTATTCGAATAATCAATCACGAAATTCATCATATAACAGAAATAGAAACTATTCTCATAATCGAAATAGAAGTTATTCAAACAATCGAAATCAGAATTACCCGAACAATCGGTCAAGAAATAATTCATATAACAGATCAAACTATCACAGATCAAACAATAATTATCAAAACAGATCACGAAATAATTCACAAAATCGAAATTCAAGTTATAATAATCAATATAGAAATTATTCCCAATCACCACATAGGAATAATAACCATTATAATAGTTCTAAACATCGAT